AGCAGGATCGTCTGCAGGAGGACGACAGAGAGATGCTGAAGGTCTCGACCTGTAGGGCGATCTCGATCTATGTGCAGAGTGGGATGAATATTGATCCCAGTCGGAATAGCTCGCCTGAGTCAGCCATGGCAAGGATGGTGGATAAGCCCCATACAGAAACCTCATCTGTCGTTGATCCCAAGAAAGAGGTGGTGGCGGGGGTAAGAAGACTCGCGGGGATCGACTTCTAGACCGTGAACGTCTCGGAGACAAAGCGGCAGCATGTCTTTGAGAGGAGCCCGCGTAATCTCCGTTGTCAATATCGACAGATTGACTGTGCCGGCGTGGAGGGTGACTCTCTGTGTCGCATGAAGCATATCGGTGCCGACATGGATCGATGTCGGAAGCTTCTGATACCGTTGACGACGGGGAAGGAGACAGAGAAGGCTCTGCATCCATTTGATGACTTAGGAGCTCTACCGTTTCGATGTCGGAGTAAGGACGCTCCATTTGGTGGACAGGGGAGTCCAAGACACGGATGGTCAGTATCGGTGGAGGGACTTGGGCCTCAGGTATCGATACAGTCGTTGGAGCAGGAGGCACTTTAGGGGCATGACTCAGTGCAGCAACCGCTACTTTCCCCTTCTTTGCCGCCTTAAGCGGTTTGGAAGAGCCCTTCTTTGCGGACTTTTGCTCCTTACTTGGCCTGGACTTCTTTTTCACCGGTGTGGAAGTGGAGGATTGCGCCTTCGATGCCGGAGGCTTTGGTGTCAGTTGGCCGATATCGGAGGCAGGCCTCGATGCCGGAGCCGTTGATGGCTTCTCGGCGTCCATCGCTGAGGAAGGATGTAGAACCGATTCTAGTAGGGCCACCTTAAGGCGCGCAGCTCGGTTTTTTCGAGTCTGGTTTGAAAAGTGAGCACAGTGGCGAAAGGATTCAGGTCGATGAGAGTCTCCGAGACAAAGTATGCAAAGGGTATGACGGTCAGGAGGAGCAAGTTTACTACCGCAACCCTTGCACCTATTTAAAAAAGCCCCACTTCTTCTCCATAAAAACTAAAATGAAGAAAGAAGAAGGGGTGAGGGGGGGTAGCCCAAAGGCCCGACTGAGGTAAAACGGCAACCTCCCCCTCCGCCGAAATAAAAGTTTTTGGGGTTTTTTAAAAAGTTTTTTGAAAGAACAAAGAAAAGGAATAAACTGAGGAAAATATCCAAAAAGCCGTGAGGTAAAAAGCTAAAACACGCGAACCGATCAGACCGACGAAGAAAAAGGTCTTTCGAATGCGGCAGTAAGAAAGGAACTGACGGTGGGGCTCCTGCGCATGCCCGAGGTCTGGGCGCGAAAATCCATTAAATGAGCTTGCACCGATCGATCCAGCGCGTGCGCACTGAATCCCATGGGTGTGAAGCACAGAGACCACGTCGAGGATCTTTGGGCTCACTGCTGTGAGTTAAGTTCTATGGTGCTCAAGCAGAATATGGAAGTCACTAAGGCAGAAACTGTATATTAACCACAAAGATTTATTTACTTACTCATCGGTTTCCAGGAACAGATCAGCAGCACAGGTCTCCAGGTGTACAAAGGAGAAACCTGGCTGAGGCACATTAATTTAGAAAGTAGTCTGAATTTCCTTTAATACTTTCAAGCATGAATAGGTGTTTACTAATTAGCCACTAGGATAGATGCTAACATACACACAGGATTCCATCCATACCAGCCTGCCCTTTCTCAAGTCATACTAAATGTCACAAGGTCTGCTCATTGCCAGACACAGGCCTAACAACTGGGTACTCTATTGTCTGCCAAACCACTCCGCCACACTACTAAGCAGAGCTACCCTTTGGATATCCTGATGTAGCAATATATAAAAGAACCAGGTTTTCCAGGAGAAAAGGCCCAGTTTAAATATCTGTATGATGATGATGAGGAGGAGGAGATTATTGGATTTATACCCCGCCCTTCACTACCCAAAGGTGTCTCAGGGCGGCCTTTCCCTTCCCCTCCCCACAACAGACACCCTGTGAAGTAGGTGAGGCTGAGAGAGCTCTTGACAGAAACTGCTCTTTTTCAAGAACAGCTCTTATCAGAACTACGGCTTGCCCAAGGCCATCCAGCCAGGTGCAAGTGGAGGAGTGGGGAATCAAACCCGGTTCTCCCAGATTAGAGTCCGTACACTTAACCACTACACCAAACTGGCTCTGAACACAATAAAGTCCTGAAATGGTTATTTACACACCTATTCTTTCATTTAGACTGAAGCTAGGGACAGTGGTGGCAGTTCTACTCATGAAGCATTAGACCAAAAAGTATGGTTCGTCTTTTCCAGCAACCTGTGTTCCATCAGTGGTCAGATACTTTGAGAAAGCCCAAAGAGGACCAATGAAGGCCATGGCCCTATGTTTGTTTCCTGTCCCTTAAAACCCTGTATTCCAATGTACATTGCCTCTGACGTTCTATTAAGCTGTTAACAAGCATTGACAAACCATGAATTTGCCTAATCTCTCAAAAACATGTAATCTAGTGGTCAACATCATAATTCTTATACTGTACACGCCCTTCCACAGTGGCATAGCTATCTTTTTATTATTTTTTCATTCTGTCAGGGAGTGATCAAGATTAGAGAAAGGCCCTCCAGACTGTATTGTTTCTGGCACTAGCCTCCTGTATGTGCTATGAAAGTGTTAAGTATCAACCGTCAAAGATTACCATTCCATCTGAACCCAAAACTCTGGCTTGGTACTATACCCTGAATACTAAAGGGATCTGGCAGTGTTCCCTCGAAGATGAATTAGTGTGAGCTAGCTCACAGTTTTTTAGCCTCTGGCTCACACATTTTTGTCTTAGCTCAGGAAGCATGGTTCCAGAGCAAACTAATTTATGGAGTAGCCAAATTGCATGCTCACAACTTTAATGCCAGTAGCTCTCAAAGTAGAATTTTTGCTCACAAGACTCTACAGCTTAGAGGAAGCATTGGTAATGAGTATCCTATAAAGTAGTCCTAGTAATGCTATAGTAGTATAGGGTAGGAGAGTAGGTCATGGAATTGTCCTTTTCTCCACTTTACGAACCTTTACAACTCACAATCTTGTAAGAATCAAGATCAAGACTAAAGAAACATGATGATGGATCTGTGGAGTTCAACCACTTAACATTTAAAAAGTTATCCAGAGTGTTCCAAGTGCTTACATAGGACAACCCAGGAATCCTTACCAATATCTTGCCTGATAAATCAATCTTATTATCCTTCTTATTATATACTTTATGCAAATGAAAGCAAAGGCTGAAAGATAATGATTTATCTCGCACTCTTGAATTAATGGCACTGATCTGGATTGGGACTATCTGTATCTGTTTCCAGGCACAGTTCAGAGTTCTTATCTATATGGCCCTAATTTGCTTGGTGTCAGTGTACTACCACCTTCAGTATTGTCTAGTTAACAGTTAAAATCCTCTTATCAAGCCCTGTTCTTTGCACCCTTGCCTGGAGAGGTAAGACAAGGTTTTTTTTTAGTGGTGGTGCATCCCCTTCAGAATGCCCTCCTCTTTGAGGGCCTATATTTAGACAGTCAGCCAAAACATTTTTTTTTAAACCAGGCTTTTAACTAAGTAGTCTATTCATGGCCTGGTCTACTAATAGCATTTAGAATGCTCTATTTGGTTTTGTGCTTTTATACTCTGGCTCTTGCTTATCCCACCACATAAACAGTAAAACTGTGGCGGGGGGAGGGGGGGATCCTCTGTAATTTTCTAAGCAATTCCTATCTACAACACATTGACACCCAGAGACTACAAAACTAGGATACCAGACACTGGTGTTGGGGGTGGAAGCACGCATGAGGTCCATCTAAGGCAAGATCCTATGGTGCTTTCTTCTGCTGTACCCGATAGGTTGAGTTCTCAAATTATTCCCCAGGCTACTATGATAAGCCATAAGATCTGAAACTATAAGCATGAAGAATGAATGAGCACCAAAGATCTAGGTGATCTAATTCACCCTCACCCTTTCACAGCTCACACATAGTATGGAGAGGTGCATGATGGGCTACACCCTGGTGTAACTTGACCCAGAAGCTGTTACACAGTCAGGCCCCTAGCTGTCACACTGCAGAACTCAGGTGCAAGCCACATCCTCTTGTGTGTGTGTGTGTGTCTGGGGGGGGGGAGCAGGGATTGGTCACCGACTCTCAAGCCCCAAACCAATTTTAAGATGGTGTCCTGAATCCTTCATAAGAAGAAGTCAGGCAAGCCATCAGATATTTTTTTTTGTTGCTTTTAGTGGCTGCGCAAATCACCCTATGGAACCTTGGCTGCTACTGGAATAACTACAAGGCTATCTGAACACACCCCAATAGCATGCTTATACACTAAAGAGCAGTTTAACCAATGCCCTCCTGCGGGGAGGTCATCTACTCATGTGCCCTAGTTACAAAAGATGCTGAACAAAGGTCTAGAAGCCTAGTGCTGAGGATACCCCCAGTCTGTAGCTGCCAATGTAGTGTAATAGTTAAGAATACAAAACAACTGGGGAGATCAAAATCTCTGCTCTGTATGAACACTGGGTGTTCCACTCCAGTCAGCATGTTCCCAAAAAGCCATCTCTAATCACTAGGCTTACACACCATCTTCAATTCCGCAAAATAAATAAATAAATCTAGAATCCAACAAAAAAGAGGACACAGCTCCTGTGACCACAAAGAGGACAGGGGGTTAGACCACAAAAGTCCAATTCTATTATCCAGTATCCACCAGAGTCTGTCTTCAAGGACTCTGCCTTCTAGTGGACAGGGAAGAGAACACCAAGGAGCCACTGGGAGAAATGTGTCTAGTCTACCATGAAGATCAAAACCATGTAGCTAAATTCAGTTGAATCTGAGGTGCTACAACTATAACATCTGCTCTCACTAACACTATGCCCCTTGCTTCAAAATGAGCACCAAATTAGAACCTGTGAGAAAACACATTAAACTCACACATTACAATACTGAAGGGGAAATCAATATAACACAGATTTTGTTCTTACTTGTTTTTTTCCCTTCATCCATTCCTTTTTTGTGAGGAGGCTCTTGAATAATTTTGTCCACATCTGCTCTTCCTATTAGGTCATCCGGTCGATCCCACATAGACAGACGAGTGGTAGGGTTATAAAAGAAAACCCGCTCGTCGCCAGTCCATACTACGCACCTATGGAAAAGCCATAAATCTGTTTACCTGTATTCTATCAGTGTTTGTTTAAAAGACAAAGTCACGAGCAGACAATTTTATACAAAGCTATAGTCATAAACCACAGATTGTTAATCTCCTATATTATGTGCACTTAAACTCCATTGAAATACATGGTATCATCCAACTCTGTGTTGGACTGATACCCCTGTGTTTTCGGAACAGAAAGCAGTCCTTTGGATTGTGGCCACTGCCCTTAGGTCCATCACTGCAGGCACTCAACCTGAGCTGAACAACTTCATATAATGATTTAGGGAATAATTTTAGTCTATAAACCTATAAAAGAATTATCAAGCTGGGTCAAAATCAAGCCCAATGCAGGTGAAAGCACAAGGGAAAAAGAGAACATCAATTCTAAGGAGGAACTAGGAAAAGCTTCCTTTTGCAGGAATGCTTCTGAAAACACGGTCTCACTGCAGTATAGACAGTCATAAAAAGGTGCATACTGTTCATGATCAAAGTCCTAGTTTTGTTCCTTCAGATCACCTTATTAATTCCTTTGAAGTCTGCCATCATTATTTCCCTTGCTAGATTAATCTCTCTGCCATTATTTTACACTTACTCTGTAGGTCTGTGGAAATCAGCGATATGACCACTCAAGCCAATTGGGAGAAAAAAACCTTCTGGTAGGCAGCTCACCTGGCCACGATTTCCTAGGGAAATTAGTGGACCTGACCCAAGAGAGCTCACAATTCTTCCTTTCTGAATCATTGAATGAAAAGGGAACAGATCTCAATGGAAGCTGCCTCTGAATTCCTCTACTGGCTTTTCTGGTACAAATATTTTGTTATACTTTTACAAAAAAATTTAAGACATCTGAACTGAAGCTGACCTTTAGAAAAAGAAGGGCAATTCATATGCAGGTGCTAGTGAGATATTTGCCACAGCTAATTCCTCAATTCTTACTATTAGTTTTCCTGAAAAATGTCCTGCTCAGAAATAAGTAGCAGAGACAGCTCAGCTAATGACTAAACAAACCAGATAAAGTTACTGCCTTTGTGGCTGACTCTCATCCTGACTAAGTGCAATTTTCTGCAAAAACTATGTAGACAGAACTGTGGTATCAACTTGTATGATGCAACATTTTGCTCAGTCATGGGAAGAAGATGGTAAATCCCGATCAGAATCCAGTTACACTTTTTGGCACACCACGTTAATATACCAGGCCCAGCTATAGATATGCCCTGTAAACTGTGATTTTGGCCCAGTGATCCATGATATGATTACAGTATTCTATCTTGGATGCAATGTGCTTTATGTGGGGCTACCTAAGAAAGCTGTTTGGAAACATCAAGTATTTCAACGCACAGACTGCTGAATACAGTGACTGCATCTCTTGTGCTGAAAGAGCTAAGCATCTGTTGTGAGGCAAAATTCACAGTACTGCTGTTTACTTTTAAAGCCCTAGTCAACTTGGTACTGTGACCTGCTGTACTGTCCAACACACCAGACAATCCTCCTTTGAAGCTCTACTCTCTGTGCACAGCCCACAGTGGCGACAAGGGTGTCAAATAGAGAGTTTTCTCACAATAGTGCTTTGGAATCCAAAGTGCCTAACCTGTTCACATTTAGGTGCCATGTTAAAATATTTTGGGATGGAATGGGTGGTGGCTGGTCATTTTCAAGCTTTCCTGGATGAGGGAAATTGTTTGCACGTTATCCAGTCTGGTTTTTGGCCTGTGAGGTCCCACAAGGTCCCATCTTATCCTCTATGCTCTTTTACATTTACATGAAAACCACCAGGTGAGGTTATCTGGAGATTTGGGCTGGGTTGTCACTGATATGTAGATTACACTCAGCTCTACCTATCCTTTCAGCTGATCCCAGGAAGGCTGCAGAAACCCCGAACATATGCCTGGAGGCAGTTTTGGAGTGAATATGGGCTAATAAACTGACACTTAATCCTGAGAAGACAGAAGTGCTAGTGGTAAACAGAAGGTATTACCTGGGATTTAAGGTGTCAACTGTTCTGGATGGGTTGCACTCTCCTTGAAGAAACTGCTCCATAGTATAGGGGTGCTCTTGAATCTGTGCCTACTGCCATATAAAGTAAATGGCAGCATACTGTGACTGCCAGTGGCCAGAAGTGGCTGCAGCCAGCAGTGCTTTTTACCAGCTTCCACTGGTTAGGCAGCTGTCGCCTTTCCTGGACAGAGAAGATCTGACACCATGGTGCATGCCGTGATTACATTTAGATTAGATTACTATATCACACTCTACATAAGGCTACTCTTGAGAAATGTTTGGAAGCTTCACTTGGTACAGAACTGTGCCACTAGGATGCTGACTGGAGTAGGTCATAGTGACCATATCATTCCAGTCTTGGCTCATCTACATGGGCTCCCAATTTGTTACCAAACACAGGTGGCATGCTGGTGTTGACCTTTGAAACCCTATATTGTTTGGGACTCCCTTGTGACCTTGCCCAACCACTACAGTCCTCTTTTGAGACCCTGCTTCAGGTGCCTCCACCTCCTGAGATTAGGTGGGTGGCAGCCTGGGAGACGGTATTTTTGGTCATGGCACCAAAGCTCTGGAACTCTCTCCCTGGGGAGAATCATCTGTCCTCTTCTGTTGCCATCGTTCACCAGCACGTGAGGAATTTTTGTTTCGTTTGGCATTCCCTCAGTGATCCCTCATTCCTGACCAAAGTTTTAACTGCAATTTTTGTAAGTATTTTAAGCTCCGGTTTTAAAAAAATTATTACTTTATGTATGTCTTGGTAGTCCTTGTGATTGCAGAAAGGTGGGATATAAATTTTGCAAAACAAACAAACAACTGTTTACCCATCTTTAATTGGCATTTTTATTATCTTGCCCTGTATTCTGCCTTTTTCACATTTTATGCCTCTTGTATGCTCCTTTCTTACACTGTTGAGGTTTTAGTGATATTATTGGCTGTTGACTGTAAACTGAGGTTGTTTTATTGATATTGAGAATCGTATTATGAAAATATTTCATTGACATATTATTTTAAGCGGGCGCCGGATACCACCGGAAACGCGATCAGACGCCCGCCCTTGCCCCGCAGTTTCTGGAAACTAGTACCTCCAAGGTACTAGTTTTTTGCTGCGCTTTTTCGGCAGGAAGCCTCAGTTGTGCCACGGAAGCGCTACGCTTCCCAGATGTGCTGGTGAGATCGCGACCGGAAACTCCGCTTGTCTTCCGTATCTCTTGCGTGGCTAATGTTGCGTGTGACCGCAGCCTAAATTTGTATTTTGAATGTCAGTTTTTATTGGGAGCAACTCTGGAGAAACGGCAAACAAATAACCTAAATAAATTGTGGTCTTCCAAGAAGAGGCATTAACTAAAACAAGACATAATGCAAGGCAATGATTTTGTGGGCCAGCCAAGGCAACTTTGGCAATTGCTTCAAGTGGCAGGAAGGCTTGGTTCCTCTGACCCCTTCAAGTGGTAGGAACACCACTGAAAATGAAGTGGCATATCTGAAGACGACAAGTTGCTCTGCCTCTATGAGTGCTTACTTATGACAGCTCAGGAGTTTGGAGAGAGGACAGTATGGTGTAGTGGTTAGGAGCGCGGACTCTAATCTGGGAGAATCAGGTTTGATTCCCCACTCCTCCATATGCAGCTGCTAGTGTGACCTTAGGTCAGTCATAAGTTCTTTCAAAGCTGTTCTCTCCATGGCAGTTCTTGAAAGAGCTCTCTCAGCCCCACCTACCTCACAGGGCGTCTGTTATGGGGAGGGGAAGGGAAAGGAGATTGTAAACCGCTCTGAGACTCCTTCGGGTAGTGAAGAGCGGGGTATAAATCCAATCTCTTCTTCTCCTAGATCATCTCACTTGGTTACTCTGAAGACCACAGACTCCCTTCAGTGGGAGAAAACCTATGCTGCTGGTCCTCAGTGAAGAGGAGCATGAAGTGGCAGGTGTAGTTAGCAGCATAAAACTATTTAGCACAGCAAGCACCTTTTCCAACAGTGGCATGATGGCCCCAATTTTCATCTCTATGTTCTTTTTATTATATCAATGTATCTAATTCTGAATCTGGCTCCCAAATGAGGATCTAAAAATGATGGGACCAAGGACAGACAAAGGAAATGTTTCTGCACACCTGGAAAAACCCCTAAGTTTGCAGAGTATCCCCCCCCCAATTTTTAATTGGGGAATACAACCCCCCCCCATGGAAAAGGCCATCAGAGTTTACACAAAATCTCATGAAATCAAGGCTGGCACTGAGGGGTTGCCTAGCAACAGCAAGATTGGAGGCTTTTGACCTAGAAAGACACTAAAAGCAGTGAGTGAGAGGGCAGAAGGAAGCAAAATTGACAAGCAGGGACATGTGAAGTTCAAAGGGGAGGAAAATACTTTGTCACCTGCTGCCCCTCCTCTGTGGCTTTCTGCTCCCTTTCCCTGCGGCTCTTGGCTCCTCTTTCTTGCCCCCACCACTTTTGCTTCACCTACTCTGGCTGATTTTTACTCCCTTCCACCCACCACTTCCTCAGTATTCTGTAGCTATGAATACAGCAGGTAAAGGAGGTCATGTCCATTAATTAACTAAATTTTTCTGCTTAACTCCCAAATACTACGTATTCCAAAGAATAACCAAAAGGCTGCTTTCCCATTATTATGAAACATGCTACATTCTCGCTGTTACAAATATTATTAACATATTTATTGAATCAAAAGTTACTATTAGCAGTATAAAGCAAGAAAATATTTACTATATTATTATGCATCTGATATAATTTTAATGATCCCAGTAGTAACATTAATTAAAAGTATAATTTCTAATGCACTATAATATCAGTTTGAGAAAGATGACTACATACCAAGGAGTACCAGGAATAGGGGTTGTAGCCACTGGTTTTGCTTTCTGAGCTGCCTTTTCTTCTTCTGTCATTTCTTCCTCTTTTGGCTCCTGATAGGAAACATAAGGCTGTACAAATCAGTTCTACTCCATAACCAAGTCTTGCACTTATTTTAAATTAATAATGGAAAAGTGGCATGATAAATAATAAAAAATAAGATTTTTGCCACATTAAAAAAATTAAAAGAATGACCTTTTAAAAAAGTCAAATCCAGGAGACCACTTATGTACATTGCATGTATAAAACAAATTCATCTATAAAACAATTTCATAAATCAAGATGTTTACTTGCACTAATATTTATTAAATGAACATTTAAGTAATACCCTAGGAAAAACAAGGTTTAAGTTAAAATCTCAGTAACATTAAATTTGTCAATTAGACACCATACTATTTTCTATAACCTGTCACTTGCTATGGCAGAAACAGTATTCTTATCACTTTGGTGCTACTGGCTCAAATCTAGCTCTACTATCACTTTGATTTTTTATGTTAAAAGTACTGAACTTTAGCTGACAAGTTTTCAGTAGTGAAGACATAGAATACACGGCAAAGACATTAATCCCCAAGACTGCCTCCAACCAGTTCCAAAACATGAGAATAGAGTATTTAATATTAGTCTATTTGCCTAGTTAATCAATCACCAGGCAACATTCTATTACCTGTGTCCAGAGAGCACACAGAGTTTGCCCACATTCCCCTCCATCACTGAAGCTTCCTTCAAATGCCACCCATCCCTCAATCACTCTTGGGGTTGCAGGCAATGTTTCCTCTAAGCTCCACAGTGTTGTGAGCAAAAATTCTACTTCGTGAGCAAAAAAAGCTAGTACTGTTAAAGTTGTGAGTCTTTATTTGACTGTTGCATACATTATTTTTAGAAGATTATTTCCTTAACCTTGTAAAAATTTCATAATTAAATCTTTTAAAGTATATTTAAACTATACTTTAAGAATAATTTAAACATTATGAGAGAGAGAGAGAGAGAGAGAGAGAGAGAGAGAGAGAGAGAGAGAGAGAGAGAGAGAGAGAGCGATTGTATATACACCCCCCCTATTGGATTTATACCCCGCCCTTCACTACCCAAGGGAGTCTCAGAGGAGTTTACAAACTCCCTGCCCTTCCCCTCCCCACAACAGACACCCTGTGAGGTAGGTAGGGCTGAGAGAGCTCTGACAGAAACTGCCTTTGACAGAACTATGGCTTGCCCAAGGTCATCCAGCAGCTGTGAATGGAGGAGTGGGGAATCAAACCCGGTTCTCCCAGATTAGAGTCCACACACTTAACCACTACACCAAACTGGCTCTCCCTGCCCCTTTCCACTATATTGGTAGACCTGGGCTTGGACTGTCACCTTGCACTGACCGCTAGAAAACATACCAGTACTTAGGGGAGAAAAACCGCTTGCATTCTACTTTGGGTTTTTTTTAGTGAAATATGACAACCAGCATTACAGGTCAAGTCTAACAGAGGTGGAACAATCACTGGGATATTGGTAGACCTGGGCTTGGACTGTCACCTTGCACTGACCCTTAGAAAACATACCAGTACTTAGGGGAGAAAAACCGCTTGCATTCTACTTTGGGTTTTTTTTAGTGAAATATGACAACCAGCATTACAGGTCAAGTCTAACAGAGGTGGAACAATCACTGTCAGAACCCTGCCTAACCTAACAAACAGGAAGCTGCTTAAATGTTATCAACCTGCCCACATTAATTTATTCAAATATTTATATCCCACTTTTCCCTGTGACTCAAGGTAGCTTACAAATCATACTGGAAAACATAATAGGGGTGTGCAAAAAACCTGGTGATTCTGGCTCAATTATAGCCTATGTGACCATTATAGTCAATGAGCCCCATAGGCTAGAATGGAGAATTGATCTGGGGGTATCTGGGGCTCCGGGGGGGGGGCTGCTTTTTGAGATAGTGGCACCACATTTGCAGCATAGCTGCTGGTACCTCTCCTAACCCCCCCCCCCCAAGTTTCAAAAAGATTGGACAAGGGGGCCCAATTCTATGGGCCACAGAAGGAGGTGCCCCAATCTTTCACAGTTTCCTATGGAAGGGGAAAAAAATGTGAGTTGAAGCTAAAATCCTCTGAGCAGCCCTCTGAAATGTTGTGCTCCAGCGCCCCCTAGTGCAGCTTAGAGGGAACTGTGGTTGCAGGATCAACACAAAGTATTAGCAGGCTGAAGCAAGAAGACAGGGGGATGAAGTTGCCCCCTCTCCTCAGCAAGCTGTGTGTGCAGAACAGGAATGAGTGATTCCAATTCCTTCTCGCTCTTCACTCTAGCTGCACCCACATAGCTGCTCCTCCTTACAGGTCCTACGACCCCAGGAATTATTCATTCAGCAGTCATAAAGAACTGCAGCCTTGGAGAGGAATGTAGGACAGTTACTCTTTATGCATTCACAGCGGCAGTGGACTGCCTAATATGCTTTGGGCCCCAATTCTGACAATCGCTCTTAGTATGTGACAGAAAATAAATTACATGCATACAAGTTTTGCTTTATTTCAAGATTATTTAAGTCTAAACTTCTCCCTCTGTAACTGTGTTTCCATCCACCAGAGTACTCAACGCTAACTTTACCTGTGGTAGTATTAGGTCTTTTACCTCCTTTATAAGTTCTTTGATAGGTTCTACTTTAGGTTCTTCCTCTTCTGTCTCCATAGGTAAAGGATCCTCAGCAGGTTCCTTAATGCTTTCTTTCATCTTCTCTTCTACTTTTTCTACAAAACATATATACTTTAATTTACTGTCTGCTTTTTGTACTCAAAATAGTAATTTATCAACAAAATTTTACAATATAAAGTACATTTTAATTCTAATGTTTCCATTTTTGCCAGTGTCAACTATGGCCATATATTTATGAGACTCTTCAAATAAGCAATATCAGTGAGTTTCTTGGCAGGTAATGACCAAAGCCCACATATATGGCATACTGCTGAATTCTACCTGAATCCAAGGAACTGAAGGAGTAGTTTCTAAGACAGAGTTACAGATACACAGATTTCAAGGTTTAACAGGTCAGTATAAATGAAAAGCAACCTGAGATGAACCATTTCCTCAGGAGCTCCTCTCTGCCACTTTGAAAGCATAAGCTCATGATAAGCCTAACCTACCTCACAAGGTTATCAGAAAGATAAACAAGCAGTTAGGTGGAAACAGGAAAGAGTAGGATACCTTTAAAAGGTAACAAAGTAGTAAGATGGCAATACTTGGGATGTGGGAAGAGAAGTCAAACCCAAATTACGCAGTAGTTGCTTGCCTGAGAAAGAAGATAAAAATAACAGAAGTGTTGGAAGGGGAGATGGCAGGGTGGAAAGGAGTTCCAGCTTTGTATTTTGTTTGAAATGTTGGCAGAATATTAAAATAGAAATGCTGATCAGAGGGAAATATGAGACTGAACAATGACTGAAAGATCAGAAAAGAAAAAATATTATTATTATTTTTTTTTAAGAAGAAAAATATTAACAGGTGTGATAGCATACAAATGGAAGTTTAAGCCATGAGAATGAATGGCTGTAGAATGAGGAAAATGGGGAAACACACAAAGAAAAAGTCACCAAAAGAGACAGGAGCAAACAGTTGAACAGACAGGAGGAGATGCCAGAGCAAAGAAATTTATGAAGAAAGGGTACCAAAGTGGACGAAATTATCAGTGATGGACCCAGGCAGAGGAAAGATCAAGAAGAATAAGTACAGAGTATCTTACTTTTCACCACAGAATGTATAGTTCCATTAAAAAAATGGCACTACACTAGGGCAGATTATTTGTCTTCCTCTAAATACACTTTCACAAAAATAAGAACTCAGTTCCACTTTCTGAACCATAATAATTCCAGATAGTTAGCCATATTAGTCTGTTAAAACAAAATAAAACAGGATCCAAGTGAAGCCTTCAAGACTAAAAACCTTATTCCAGCACACGTTTTTATAAATCAGACCTCACTTCTTCAAATGCATGGAGTAAACTGAGTCTGACTCCTCCTTCATGAGGAGTCTGACTCATGAAAGCTTCTGCTAGAATAAACTTTGGTTAGAGTTTAGTATGCCGCTTGACCTCTGATAGAGAATGTAACTCTTTTATATCGGGTTTTTCTTAAATAATGCGTGGCTCTTGCTATCAATCCATACCTGTAGGGATGAAATGGCCAAGCAACTAATTAAACCAGTAGCAGTTGCCAGTAATTATATATGGGAAAATATATAATTCACATAGTACATATAGTAAGGAATCAGATTAGTAGCAATAAGCTTTAATAACTGCAGACAATAACATCACTTCTTTAGGAATAAAATAGCTGCTAAACAACAAATAAGAAGGAAATGCTGTCTATAGCTGTAGTCCTTTGCCACTTATGGTATGCAGGCCTTAATATCAGTTCCTTGATCAATACATTTCACACATAAGCATCAACTACTTAGTACACTGAAAAAAGTATATCATATTGTGAAACCTGAAAGATACAATGTTGAAAATATGTCTCACAATTTTCAATAACATTTTTCACTTTGATGAATTTTGCAAAGTTTGAAAAACTTATCATAGGGCCTCGGCCACACGGGCAGGAAAATGCAGGGGGGGGGGAGGCGTGGCTGTTTGCCCCGGAGCAAACTAATGCGCGACTGCGCAATCAGGCGTCGGGTTGAGGTCCCGTCGAGCTCCCATGGTTAGGGGGGAGGTGCCGATCACACGACACGGCAAAGAAGCGGAGCGGCGCGGCAAACAGGGTTGTGTTGTTGTTGTTGTTTTAAAACTGTAATATGCGCATGCTCCGTTGGGTGCTTGTGCGCATCCATGGAGACTTGGGGGGAAAAACCCCTTTTTGCGAGGGGACATGGGCGGGCGCCGGAACTACCACCGGAAACGTGATCAGACGCCCGCCCTTGCCCCGCAGTTTCCGGAACCTAGTACCTCCGAGGTACTAGTTTTTTACCCCACATCTTTGGCGGGAAGCCTCGGGTGCGCCACGGGAGCTCTACGCTTCCCAGATGTGGCGGTGAGATTGCGCCGGGAAAATCCGCCTATCTTCCGTCTCTCTAGCATGCCTAATGCTCCGTGTGACCGGGGCCCATAATTAGTTTTATCTAAGCTCCAAAACGAAACCATACCTTTTTCCTTCAGCTCTTGAGGCTTCTCCCATGTTGATTCTAGTGTCCTATTGTTATAATAATAAGTCTTCCCATCTGCCGTTTTGTACTCTGTCCATTCAGAGACTGCTGTTGCTCCAGCCAATGTAGCAGGTGAAGCGGCAATAGCAACCTGAGGATGGATCATAGGTACAATAGGAGGAGCCATTCCTGGCAAGACACCTACATAAAAGGAGTAATAAAAAGGCAAAAACCGATAAAGTATCATTTTGTGTCAGAAGAAACAAACTGAAGTCAGCATATATAATGGTTTATAAATAAAAATGAAGGTGTTGATACAGAAAATTAATGTGTTGTTTCTAACCTGTACCCCCTCCCATGTTAATCAACTATATTTCTTCCACATTATCTAAATCACTAGTGCTTATGATCAACTGCACATCCAACTAGGAACAGCACAAGTATTTTATGTGCATTCCAAATGTCTAAAAGTGATATAATTAGTTATTTCCAATCACATACACTGTATGTAATAATGACCACTGAAAGATGGGATGAAATTTATTGTTTTCTGAAAAGCAGCAAGACTAGCTTGTTGTAGAGAATTACCACCCCACCTAAAAAATTTCTCCAGCATAACTAGAATGTTACTATTTATTTATCAAAGTCTCTCTTAACTGGTCCAACAGGGCAACCCCCTTACATGTAAGCAGGGCTTCCCCAGTACCATAGAAAGAGAATCCAGTACACATACTGAGCTCAATCTACCATTTTCAGGAGAAAAAACCAAATCACAAATGGGGATTTGGATTCCGGTTTAATTAGAACTGGGAAATAAGCATTATTTTTGTGACTGTGGGATTTTTCCAGACTTGGTTTTAAAGTCTTGTAAAGCTTTTTACTAATTTTTAGTGAGCTCTTCACTACGAAGGATATTTTATTTCTTTATCTAAAGTTTAGTATTCTGGGCATATAATTTTTAAAAAGAAAAAAAGGCATCTTATATTAGTGACTAAGGTTGGAAAACAATGATTCTGACGAGTGAGTCTTCCATCAGAGGAAAACTCCTCGAAGGGAATTATTAGATCCAACCCAGAATAATTCCTTAAGATAAAGTGCAAGGAATAAACGTACTTATTTCTCCTAAACTAGATTGTTAATTGAAATACTTTTGTCGTTAAATATTGTTATATCAAATTTGATCTTTGGATCTAAGGTTAATTAAGTCATACATATTTAGCACAGCCCAGCTCTACACTGGCACTCCGTTGAAAAGCTAAGGTATTGACTACAGTGTATGAAGACATATGGGTTTTAAAACAACCTTACTATGTATGCTTAAACATGGACACACATATACACATACACAAGCACACTAACATGCAAACAGTCTGATTGCTGTACTGGTGCCAGGAGAGAAAAACCAAACACTGTGCCCTAAGCACACAAAAATGTATATATGGAGATGGAAGAGATTCACATGGATAAAACAATCTGAACTTGCAGAGGTTTTGTATTAGGCTAACACTGTCAATTGATTGGGGGTTGCTTGTTGGCTACATGGAAAACCATATTTATAGTGTATTTCGAAAATAGAGATCCAACTATTGGGAAAAGCAAATAAACGGTAAACAACAACATTCACTACCATGCCAACTTACAGACAAAACAAACTAAGATGGTTTTAAAAAATTACCGGTCTTGGTGGTAGCGACTGTCTTTACATACGGGCAGCTGACTATTTGCATCATTGCTACACCTGTAAAATGGATAAGCAAGCATGTTGGAAAGCTGCCACTGTTATGTCAGCTACCACTGGGAATCTGAGCAATTTTTTTCATATGGCAAAGAGAAAGCAAGCAGGAAAGCCTGAAGTCGTTTTTGCTCTAACATTTTAACAAAATGATGCCAGATAAATTATACATTCCTGCAATAATCTCTGCAAGGACAACACATTAGTCCTTTTTTCTTAAAAAATACTATAAAAACCAGGGATTTAATTTCAACAGAGATCAATTTTCCAGACTCCAACACTACAAAATGGCCACACTTATTTTGTTCTCTCAAGGTTGGAACCTATACACTCCTTTCCACTATCACCTGTGCACCTGTCATATTACCCTAATGCAAGTGACTCTTCTGCTGAAGCTAGAAGCACTTGTTTCAGTGGAATGTATCTTGCAAGACAGAAATATACTGACCACTAGCAATAAAGAACGTATAGGATCCAACACTCTATTTTCAACCCTGTGTCAAGCATTTATAAAAAACAACAGCCCAATCATATGCATCTTTAATTAGAAATAAGACTCACTATGCTCAGTGTGGCTTATTCCCCAATATGTGGGTACAGGAATGCAATCTGAAAAATGTATTATTTGGACAAAGAAAGAATGGCAATGCTAACACAACAACTTATCCTAGGAGGCACAGGAGAATTGGTTTGGAGGATGGGGGGGGGGGGGACAAAGCTGAGAGATAAGAAGTAAAGTGGGACAAGGTAAGGGAATGGAAAAGAAACAAAGAAGCTGAACTGATGGCTCATTAGCAGCCTGTATTTGCTCTTCCTTATATCTCTTTTCTCACCACTCCCATTCCTACCTCCATTCAAGGGCCAAATTTTAAGTCCTATGAGACTATCAGGGCCCTCTACTAAATGTTACCAAGTTATGGCAGAGCTGCTCACAAGAAAGCTTGTCCAGTGCAACTACGGTAATGTTTAAACTGGAAAGATTTTTCTTATAGAATTAGAAGATATGTGAACTGATTCTGTAGTTGGAACTCCATGGAATTCCTGCATCACAAATAGTAAGATAATTTAAACATTATTCCACCTCCCATATGGCTACGGTAACAATGAATGGGAACAAGTAAATTTATGTTTGAGAAGAACAGAGACAATAATGGCTTTCTAATCTAAAAAAATTATACTGACAGGAATAATGACGTATCCCACAAGACCAAAATGGGATTGGTGGGAAGAGAGATTCCATATGAGAACTTATTTTATAGGAAGCAATTTCATGAGAGGCACAAAGCTTCAAAGCACTTTCAAATACTGGACATGGGGGGAAATGAGTGAAGCCTATCAGATTGTTTTTAGAACATTTTCAGTCCCATAATGTGGGACAGACAAAACAAAATTAAATAATCAAGTTCAAACACAATAAAGCAAAATCACTATTTAAAATTGTCCAATACAAAAACATTAAAAACCTACTAAGGTGTTTTTGTATTGTATCAGTTGTCTTAAAAGTGTCTTTTCTAAGGAGATTCTCAAGCTTTATTCATGCACAGAGCAAAATGCACAGCTGCTGTTGCTTACATGTGTCAATGTGTTTTTATGCTGCAAACTTGTAATGAATGCAGATGTTAATGGTGCCGAGCATGTTTTGAATATGCCTGAAAGTTTAGGCCAAACTGTTATTTAAAAAAATCCATGGGGGAAGATGATTAAACTTGGCAAGATGATTAAACTTGGCAAGATTCAATGCAGCAGGTCTTCAGAATAAAACAGTAATTTTCTCTGCCAGACCTCATTTTGAAATGTGCAGCTAGCCTTTAATATACAAACTAAGGAGGCAGCCTATTTTCAAGGCCTGAATTTAACAAGTATCTAAAAGTTCTTCTCCAACAACCTGTACCACAGTACAGTAGCCTTATTAATCATTGGAATGTAGAGATATGCATGGTTTCAACGGTGCATCACAATGAGGACTATAGGACACAGTTCTGTTGTGCATTTACTGAAAATTAATTTGTGTTTTAATTAATGTGGTTACAAAAAATAAAACAACCAGATAAATGTGGACTGCTTCTGAAACAACTGAGCTACAGAGGTTGTGAGCAGGGCTTCCAGTTCATGAATGATACACCTTCACATCACATCAGTAGCATTTTCATTAGCTAAGGTTTTAAACAAATACTCCTATCAATCTAATTTTCCTCAGTAGACTAATATTGTGAGTTAGTGGTTCAAACATACTTCACTCTTGTATTAATTTTTTCCCCTGTTAGAGTAACAGGGTTAAAAAAGACATATAGCCAGGGCTCCACTATGATGGCCTACATTGCTCAAAGATCAAGAAAGAAGAAATTTATGGTTTGAGGCTTTGTCCTCATCATTCAGGCCTGAATGTTGTCTTTAAGCACGACTATATTTTCCAGTGCTAAATTGCTTATACAGCATTCATTCATGTTGTACTGATCAGACCTAATGGAATTCATTTTATAGATCCCTGAGATTTCACTACAAAGTAAGGCAACTTATTCAGGTTTGCATGAGTTTCTAAGCATGACACAGCAACTGTCACTTGCCTAAAAAGTTAGCTTTTTCTAAACCAATAAGATGACAAAAAGCCCTGGCAATGGTAGTCCCAACTGCTCAAATTTTATTGTTTATCGTCTTGAATTCATGAGAAGGGCATAAAAACAATGACATCTGGTAGCAGACCACAAGTTTTACCTTCTTATAATTTCAAAAAACTCCCCTCCATCAAGCTCATCTCTGCAACTGTGTAAGCTTGAAACTTACTCAGTTTTAATGAAATATGCTTATTTCAAGAATTTAACTGGAGAGTGACCACTCAATATATTGTAATCCATGTTTTTTTAATTTGTGCTACTTTAGTACAGAGGCACCTGCCTTTTAAAAAGATGTGTTTCCTGCAACTGCAGACTACCAATCTCTTTGCAATGGCCTTTACACTGAACCTGTGAGGCTGCAAATCACAGAGTCCCATGCGGAAATGGAAAACATGCATAAGGATGCAAATGCATGTCACCAGTCTTCATGCCACACAATACCACATCTGATCTGAAGAGTCCCAAAATTTCTTTCAGAGCCTCTCAAGGAGTACAAGAGGCTGTAACAGAAAAGAATACCAGAAGGCAAGTGCGGACCACCACACACAGCCCTTTACTTTTCTACAAGATCTATATTTACTTCAACCCTAACTTTTAACTTCCTTATTACTGCTTGGCAATAAAAGAACAGTTAGCAACACCACTACTAAAGTGTGATGTCCTGTCCTCTACATCCCATCAGTTTAATGTCAAAAACAGACCTGTATAAAATCTAGATTTGAAGAACGAAGTGGTGTTAATGGTTGCATTAGAACTTTTAGCTAAACAACCAATGCCATTAATAATTACCTAGCTTGAAAGTTAATTCACCATAGAAGCTGTTCACTGCTTTTATTTACTGCAAAACAGGAGTCTCATTCTATGAAAGACAACCACTTTTCACATCAGAAAGAAATTATATCATACTGCCAGAGACAAGGTGAATTTCTTCCACCCTGAGCTCATTGGGGAGGGTGGGGTATAAATTTAATAATAAATAAATAAAAATAAATTCCAACTATTCACTGCAAGGCTAATGTATGATGCCTAAAATGTAAATTATATTCTGTTCATGCCAATAACGTTTTACGTGATCAGCCTGGCTTGGCTTCTTTTCCAGTATTTATTTTATTAGAAACTTTTACTTTAAAGAGCCTATCTGTTGATTCCAAATTATCTGAAGAATATACTTTGAATGAAGAGGATTCAGGCAAATTCCATACACAATGGACACATGAGTGCAAACAAATTGACAACATGGACATGTGGTTGACGAGACAGTTACAGGTTTCAATTTACCTGGAAGCGGAATAGGCATGCCAGGAAGGGGAACTCGAAATGGAGGTACCATTACTGGTGGAAAAGCAGGAATTGCTGCTGTTGGCTGAGGTACCGCATGAGGAACTGCAGGAGGTAATGTCTGTGGGACTGGCTGTGGTACAGTCTGCACAGGTGTAGCAGAAGGAGCAGAAGTTGAAACACTGACAGAAGGTGTAGCAATTGAAACAGCTGAGCTGGGGGTCTGGTCTTGTGTTGTAGGTGCTGATAGAGAAAACAAACATCCAAAACCATGTATTATACAGTTTGACTTGTTTACCTAATACCTCTTACCAACATTTTACCACTTCTGAAGAAGTGGGCAGTGACTCATGAAAGCTCATACCCTGCCACAAATTTTGTTAGTCTTTAAGGTGCTACTGGACTTTTGCTCTTTTCTACTGCTACAGAAAGACTAACATGGCTACCCATCTTGATCTATCAACGTTTTATTGTAAATACATGGAAAGGGATATATGAACATCAAGGTGCTTGGGAAATGCAGCCTCCTCCAAGGTACTTCTACTGCACAGACCAGGCTACTAATGTAATCTCTGCGGTTGTGAACATCTACTAAAAAAAACAAATATAATACATTTTTAAAAACAGATGACACTAGAATTTCTCTGTTTTCTTTAAAGGATAATTATAATTCTTTTCCTTCAGCTCTATCTTCTGCACACAGAAACGTTAGAAACATCCAGATTAGAGCTTTCAATCAATTCACCAGGTATCAAATTTATGTAGCTGACAGATTTAAAAAGGAAAAAGCAACAAAAGAAAACTATGCTACCTCTCAGTTTAAAGGAAGGCACATGCCATGCGTAACACAAAGAAAAGTCAAAAACAGAAAAGCCACAAAAGCAGCTCAGCATATGCACAGCAATAAGATAAGGTAGGTATATTCTAGAGTCCTATAGCACCTCCAAGTGGTGCCAAAGATTAATATTAAACTTGGCAACACGAGTGGAGACTATCTTTGAGAAAGGGCAGTGATCCTTATGATAGTGAGATGGCAAGTTGTTATAATTTTGGTTGCAAGAAGCCTGTTTGGCAAAACAATAACCTACAGTAATTGTTCAAGGAATGCAATTTAGGTCATTAAAATGTTTAAAAAGTACTTAATTCTTACAATAGGTCACGCATATTTTTGCTCTTGAAAAGCAACATTATGACTATAGAATGCCATACATAAGGTTCTCATGTTTCAATCTATAAATAAGTTATAACTGAAAGCAATATTGCACAAGGGTAGCAAAACCTGCTTAGTGTCCATGATTTTCCACTATAGGAAAAAAAAACATTTCAAAGAGAGATAGATGTTTAGCTGTTGTAGATTTTTCGGGTTGTATGGCCGTGGTCTTGGCACTGTAGGACCTCACGTTTCACCAGTAGCTGTGACTGGCATCCTCAGAGGTATAACACAGAAAGATGGAGTACTCTCTGTGTCAAGGTGAGAAGCAAAGTGGTAGGCAGGTAATTTATATCTACTCAGGAAGGTAGGGCTGAGTCATTATCTTGTAGGAGTTTCCTCAGGCTATGAACATTCTAATGGAGAAGCTTTCCTGAGAAGGTTCTTTTGCATATGGATTGTTTCCTGAGGATTCTTTGGCTGTTGAAATTCGAATCTTATCTGTAGTGCTATTGTCAGATGTTGAGCCTTTTGTAGATAGATGGATGATACATAGATGGATGATAGATGGATCTTATTCTGATTTTAGGAAACGTGAAGCACGCTGATATTAAGTGAACTGCTAAAGAGAGAATATTTTATGCCATTGTCCTCTTGAGACTAACCATGTCTCCTAGGATAATTTTAAACTGCAAAAACTCAAAACATGAAGCTTTCTAAAGAAAAAAAGCCCTAGTCTCAAAAAAGTAAATCCAAATTCACTAGTGCAGTATCAGTAATTTACATCAATAAATTTCACTTTGGGCCACAATTAAAATAAACTAAAGAGAAGAGATCTTTGTACAGAACATGAATGTTTCAAAAAGTAGACATAAATCCCTTTCATCATATGATCTAAATCATAATGTTTTGTCTAATATTTTTGTTTGGATTTACAAACAGATTATGCCATAACAGAAATAACTATACTTCAGATGACAAATTTGACTTTATGAATACATATCATGACTGTAGCTGCAACACAATTCAGCCTCTTATGGTGTACTAGAAGTAAACGACTACTGGTCTGTAAGCCTTAACATTTTAAGAACTTCATTCATTCATCTGCTCATATGCCATTTAATTACTGCAAACTGCCATGCTCAACACAAACTCTAGCTACTATATGACTATGTACTCCTCACGATCCAAGACTTCTTTTACTGCCATTTAGAATGCTGCAAACCATGCTCAGGATGACATGGAAAACTGGAAATACATTCCAAAAGGATCAAAATATTTTAAAATGTATGCAAAAAGAAGTGAATTTCAGAACCATCCTCCATTTATTTTGCAAATCCAACACACAGGGCTTAGGGAATAAAACCATTCACTTGCTCCGGCTGCCCTGGGAATGGTACCAATGTAAAAATAACCACTTGGGAAACCTCCTCCACAGATAAGAAACTCTGCCAATCAAAATACAGCATCACAGAATTCACAAGACTCTCTTTACAAGGGAAACCCTTTGCATCATCAGAAAGGCCTTTCTTTCTTTCATAAAAGGAATAAAGGAAAGCTTTCTCTTGAGCTTCTGAAACCATTCAATACAGGTAACAAGCAATCCTTTCCTTCTCCTCTATAAAAGTAACATGGGCATAGACTTTTAGGTAACACTTTAGATGACACGGGGCTGTTGACTGAACTGCAAACAAGCCTGCATCCTTATGTCTTATTGTTGGCATTAACAGTCATAGTGCTATCCATCATCTTACAGAGCGAATTTTCAGGAAAGTTCTAAGGCACACAGTTATCACCTCAGATCTATAGGATCCCCATTCCCCCTGTATTATTAGAAAATCACTATGCATTAAATGTGCAAGCATAAAGTATTCCTCTTTCATGAAAGCATTTTCTCTGCAAAAAGTTTCATCTGCCAAAACAGGTTAATATTTACAGCCAGAGTATGTTTACAATCTGACTCTGGGCTAGTTCAACATGACAGCCCTCATATTAGCACTTTTGGAATGAGTGGAGATGTCACCACGCTCATACGAATGTGTGTAACTGGTCCCTCTCCATGGGTGGCCTTCACAAAAACCGGGGCGTGTGCTCCTCAGATATTTCCAATGGGTGCCACTATGGGGTAACAACAGCATAAATTATGAAACTGAGAGCCAGTTTCCCTTTCCTTTCCAACTGCTCTTATCCAAAGGAGGGTATGTGTGAAGAAGGGGGGAAAGTGTCAGAAAGTACAGAGAAAGACAGCAACATGCTACTATATTCTATGCACAGAATTTATTTCTCACACAAAAACTTACACACACACACACACAATTTTACTCACTGGAAACTGTTTGCGAAACAGATGTTGCTGTAGTAGTAGTAGAAGTTGTTGAAGACTGACTACTTGATGATGTGGAAGGAGATACTGCTGATGCAGGACTACTAGTAGTTGGTGTGGAGGCACCAACAGCTTGAGCTTGAGCTTGAGCCTGAGCCTGAGCCTGGGCCTGAGCAGCCAGCATTGGTGTCAGCTCTGACTGCTGAATAACCTTTACTCCATCTGGTTTGGTCCATGCTGATTCACGCGTTCTTGCATTGTAGTAATAAACCTAAAGAAAAGCAGTCAACGGTGTGGTAAATAACCTGTTTCTCCCATTCATCTTTGAAATTCAGAGTTTAAAAGTCTCTTTACTCAATATACTGATTTGGTTTTGGAATATTATGCAAGGCAACTTCATGATATCATCGTAACTGATAAAAGTACTGTTCTGTAAAGCACACCTCTCAAATGTGCATAATTATATTATTACCTTTCCATCTGGAGTTTTGTTTTCTACCCATATCTCTTCAGTAGGAGGCATTGTTGGTGTTCCAGGGGCAGTAACTGGTGGCATCCCTGGAGGAAACATCATACCAGGAGGTGGTGGCATATTACCCATAGGAGGAGGCATGAAAGGTGGTCTCTATAAATATACACAAGGAAAAAAATTACAGGATATGTTCCAAAGTTGGATTCAACCATTCTATGTACAGACCCTCAGTAACAACATGGGATGCTGGGTGAAGGGGGGGGGGCTGCAGCCATAAATGGAAATTAACTAAAATCTCCCTTCTACATCCCACAAAAGTGCAGCATGTTCTGTTAATAAAGCAAATGCTCTTACAAGAATACAGGGGGTGAGGATGGGGAGATTTCAGCCAATTTTCTCCCTCTGACTGTAGCTCCCTCCCCCGATATCACACTGTTCCAACCCTCAAGGTCTGTTTGCATTTAACAAGTAACTTATTGAAGTCTGCAACAAACCTTATGCTCCCCTGGAAGCTTTGAAAACTGTTATTTCACCATGTTTTCTCTTCCCTCCCTCATATTTTTGCACTAAATATAAAGGCTGATGTTCTAGAAAATTTGCATTACCGTTATATATTTTGGTTGCATCTAATAAAACTTATTCTATGACTTGAACTTAGCAATGTAAAGGCTCAAAAAAACAAACAAACCAGTGCCCCCCCAAAGGTTTTTTCCAATTTTTCCGGTGGAAAAACTGGAAATTTTTGGGATGCACTGAAAAAGCTTCCTGTGAAACATTTTCTCCTGAGTGAGGATAACTGTCTTGTTTTACAAAGCATTTCACCCTTCCTAAATGAAATCACGGAAAAGTCAGAAGACTTTCTCAACTTTTCCAAAGAAAAACTGGAAAATTTGAGCACAGAAAAAAAAACCCCTCATACTGTACACATACACAATATTTTCAAGAATGTGTTTTTGTTTAACTGTAAATAAATTTGGCAACAATTAATACAGAGTAATATGGAGATATTTCTGTCTTGGGAAGTATAGTCCCCTCCCCAACCAGAAATGACTACTGAAAGGCTGTGCCAAACCCCAGGAATAGTTGGGGGGGGGGGTATTTGTACACCATGGAAGGGGAAATCAGTAAAAAATCCTCCCCTTTACAAACACACAAATTTTAAACAAGATCCAACCCATTACCTTCGATGTGATTTGGACAACACTTTATTTAACACCTGGAGATCACTATAGAGAAAAAATGCATGGAGTGGAACAGCTCAAAGAATTCTTGAATGATACATTTGCCCTTAAACCATTTCAATCCAATTTCAGGCCTGGGTTTGGAACTGAGATAGCTTTAGTTGCACTGATTGATGATCTTCATTTCAAGCTGGACAGCAGCCTTTGACACACTTGTCCACTCCATTTTTATCCAACAGTTGGGACTACAGACCTGGCAATAAAGAAGTATTCATTCATACCCCGCCTTTCTCTGTAATGGGGACCCAAAGTGTCTTACATCTTTCTCTTCTCCTCCATTCTATCTTCACAACAACCCTGTGAGGTAGTTTAGGCTGAGAGTATGTGACTGGCTCAAGTAATACTCCCTTTAAGCTGTGGAGTCTTGTGAGCAAAAATTCTACTTTGTGAGCTACTGGCATTAAAGTTATGAGCAAGTGATTTGGCTACTGCATAAATTAGTTTCCTCTGGAGCCATTCTCTATGCACTAAGACAAAAATGTGTGAGCCGGAGGCTAAAAAACTGAGCTAGCTCACACTAACTCAGCTTAGAGGGAACACTGGAGTCAAAGTTACCTAGCAAGCTTCCATGATAGAGTGAGGATTCAAAGCAGTATCTCCTAGTCTGACACTAATTAGCACACCTCACTGGCTCACCCCTTGGTGGTTTGTCTTTTAGTCTGATTGGACACAGAGTTTCCACTAGAGGAGCAGTATCAGCTGGGTGGAATTTTCTTCACCAGGTTCTATTCTTTCACCCAGGTCTTCAATATCTATATAAGGCCACTGAATAAGATGTCAGGGTCAACAGCAAGCAGGTCCAAACACACTCTCCTGAAAAGGCTATGTTTTATTGGAATACTAGTCTGTTGCCAAGTGGTACAGGTACATTGTCAGGAATAACGATGGCTGCAAGGGGCTCCATACATACACTAGGATGCTGCATCTAGCTAAGCAAATGAAATCCAAGCGCGTACGTGGGAATTCTCCCGGCGGGATATTACATCATGAATGGGAGACTCACCCCAATCCCTTGAGAGCAGAAATATTCACACCCGTAGTGGAATTCAAGCTCTCCCTTCCCTTCAAGGTTGGCTGAGCCAGTTCGCACAGGGGGGAAAGAGCGCCTCCCTTATGTTACCCACGGTAGCCAAGCAAAGCAAACATGTGCGGTTGCACAAAGGCAGGGATGAAGGTAAACAAAGAAAGCATGACAGCTATCTTAAATACTGTCCCCTCAAAAGAAAATCAGCCCCCTCCCGGAATGCCCGGGAGACCTCCCGGTTTCCCCGGGAGACATTCGTGAAAATCACGCAAGAGGTCAGGGGCCCAAATATCCCCTATTTCCACCCATTCTCGGTGCTGGGGACCAAAATGCACCCACTCCACAAGGTAGTACAAACATCCACGTTTGTCCCGCTCCAGGGGTCGCGGGCCGGAGAAATGGGCTCCCGCCAACCCCCTAGTGGAATTCAAGCCCTCCCTTCCCTTCAAGGTTATATTGATAGCACTGTCTGGCTGAGCCAGTTCTCACAGGGGGGAAAGAGCGCCTCCCTTATGTTACCCACGGTAGCCAAGCAAAGCAAACATGTGCGGTTGCACAAAGGCAGGGATGAAGGTAAACAAAGAAAGCATGACAGCTATCTTAAATACTGTCCCCTCAAAAGAAAATCAGCCCCCTCCCGGAATGCCCGGGAGACCTCCCGGTTTCCCCGGGAGACATTCGTGAAAATCACGCAAGAGGTCAGGGGCCCAAATATCCCCTATTTCCACCCATTCTCGGTGCTGGGGACCAAAATGCACCCACTCCACAAGGTAGTACAAACATCCACGTTTGTCCCGCTCCAGGGGTCGCGGGCCGGAGAAATGGGCTCCCGCCAACCCCCACGAGTCCAATCCCTCTTAACTTGCCACCGGGGCAGGAACCGGCCCCTCCAAGACGGGAGACGAGCGAGACAGGACCCCACGGCAAGCAGCTCCCCGGCCGAGCCAGGAGGCAAGACCGGGGACTGCGGGGCAGCGGCAGCCACAGTGAGGAGGATGGAGCAGGCAGGCCCAGAGCTTGGGCCGGGAGCTGGGGAGCGGCGCGGCCCAGAGCCCGCCAGAACCGCCGCCAACGTACGGGAAACAAACGGGGATACGCCCTCTCAGCGTGACGGCAAATAAAGAGGGGCAGGGCTTAGACCCCGGGGCGGAAGGGAGGTCCTGGGAGCGGGGACGGGAACATAAAAGGCGGCAAGGGGAAGGGGCCAGGGAGGAAGAGCACGCTGGGACTAGTAGCGGGCAAGAGAGAGAGAGAACGGAAGGTGGAGAGAACCTTCGTGAACGATTGCAGCATGCTGGCAGAGGGACGCCCGGGGTGCACTTAACCCTGTCTCCTGCCCATCTGAGGCCCCTCCACCCCACCCCTTTATTGCTCTCACCCCTCACCTGGACCGCCTGTCCGCCCTCCCAACACGGCCACAGGGGGCGCTACCTCGCAGACCCAGGAGACGCCTGACAACGTTTTAGTTTAGAGTCCAAAATGCTAGAGATCTCGCAATGTTCTTCACCCTCCACCATGATAGGGGGAGGCACCGTCGGTTCAGGGCGCCATTGATTAGGACCTGGACTGGGCTTCAAAAGGTTGAAATGGAAAATTGGATGGACATGTTTTAGATTTTTAGGTAAATCAAACTCTACAGTCACATCATTAATCAGCCTTATCACTTTAAAAGGTCTGATGTACTTCCACGCCAATTTCCGACAGGACTGAGAGAGTCTCAAGTTGTTGGTGGACACATAACACACAGTCTCCAGGCTGCAAATCCTAACCCTCCACCCTTTTCTTGTCAGCCTGGTGCTTGTAAGCTGCCTTGGGAGCATCCAGAGTCTCACCGATTTCCAGTAAAGAGTCTCTCTGTGTTGCACACCAATCCGCGGCATCACCCCCTTCTCCCAAAAATGCGGTGAGGAAGGGGACCGGGGGACTGTCATAGCCCAGAGCAGCCTTAAAAGGTGAAACCCCCATGGATGAATGAATAGCATTATTATAACAGAATTCAGCCAAGGGCAGCAAGTCTACCCAATCATCTTGTTGGAAATTGGTGAAACAGCATAGATATTGCTCTAGGGTTTGATTCACTCGTTCTGATTGGCCATCAGTCTCTAGGTGGTAAGCACTGCTTAGGGCCCGTTCCACCCCCATAAGGTCTGTTAGTTCCCCCCAAAACTTCGAAACGAACTGGGATCCGCAATCCATGATTATCTTGATTGGCAATGTGTGAAGTCTAAATACATGTTGGAGGAAAGCTTTCACTAACGATCGGGCAGTTGGCAGACCGGGAAATGGGATGAAATGCGCCTGTTTGGAAAACAGGTCCACGACTACCCAAATTACAGTCATAGACTTGCTGAGAGGTAAGTCTGTGATAAAATCCATAGAAATCACCTCCAATGGTCTGCTGGGAGTCAGCAGTGGCTTTAAGAGCCCTGGGGGCTTCCCCAGTCTAGGCTTACACATAATGCAGATTTGACATGAGTGCACATACAGTGATAAATCCTTGCGCATGTGTGGCCACTAGAATTGCCTCTGTAAAAGATGCAGTGATTTTACAAAGCCCAAATGGCCAGCCGGCTTAGATCCATGAACTGTGGCTAACACGTCCCCCTGCAATAGTTTTGGAACAAACAGGTTTTTTTCTTTATACCAGCAGCCATTGTCCCGTTGTTCCAAGTCCCCCGCCGCCCTCACTTCATCCACGTCAGATTTCAAGGGGGCGGAGGCAAATTTGGCTTCCCAGCCCCCCATGGGAGGGGAAAGGGGGAGATTTTCCCTCGCTTGCTGTCATGTCGTTACGGCCCCACCCAATTGGGAAGGCGTAAACATGGAGTCTAGTACCACCTCCCTTTGGCTATCGTGTTGTGAGAGGCGGGACAAAGCATCAGCCAGGG